TTCAGTTATAATGAAAATTGTACCTAAGAGAAACATTTTCTCTATTATCTCTCTTTCTCTCTAGTTTTATAACACATTTATATATATTTTTTCTTTCTTTTTTTTTTGTATTTATGAGCTTCTTTTTCCAAATGAGAGCCGCTAGGATAATTATTACCTAGGATTATCCTCGGGGGTGTGTCCTCGAGTTTCAGCCCCGCAGCGCAGCCCATTGTGCAGCCCAACGCGCAGGCCAGTGCAGCCCAGCGTGCGGCCCGCATCCATGATTTATGGTAGCATTAACTGCTGCTTGATTTTTTATTAAAAATAATAAAAAACATTCCAAAAATGAAATGTGATTAATATTCTCAGAATTTTTCTCTTACTATTTTTTTGTAAATAGTAATTCTTATTATATATATGGATATCATTTTAATTAAAGTTTTCATATATAATATTTATTTATTTTTGGTAACCTATGCATGTGCACAAAATTAATACTAGTTTGTTTGTATGAGGTTGTTACATACTATAAGGGTGGTTTATATTGTTTGCGCTTCATATGGTACTAGTACAGAGCCCGTGCGAAGCACGGAGTGCACAATTTTAAGGTCAGTTATCCATTCTTATAATTATATAAATGAATAAAAAAAAATGTACGGGATATATATAGTACGTGACCTGTAATAGGCCAAAATGTGAACACGGGTTATGCACGGGGTGCACAATTTTAAAGTCATTTATTAGTGCATACCCCGTGCGATGCACGAAGTGCACAATTTTAAGGTCAGTTATCCATTCTTATAATTATATAAATGAATAAAAAAAATATACGGGATATATATAGTACGTGACATGTAATAGGCCAAAATGTGAACACGGGTTATGCACGGGGTGCACAATTTTAAAGTCATTTATTAGTGCATACCCCGTGCGATGCACGTGATACATATAGTAAATCAATTATTTCTATAGGACTTGTACGTTTAGACAAAAAAAAAACAATAGGCTTGGATCATCCATATTTCACATCTTTTAATAAGTGACGTTTATTTAAGCCAAAAAATTAACATGTTAATTAATATATAATTCCGCTAACACGTCATACTAATATTTATTTGATTTTAGAATACATATTTATTCATTGATATAGGAAAAATAAATTTTTTATTAATTATTGTTCACAGTTATATAATGTAATTGTTATTATTTATAAAAGTTATAGAAGTAGTCTTCTTTATGTAATGAAATTCAAAATAAAATTTTGAGTATAAATGTTTACAAAATACACACACATGTTTTTTAGAATTCAATTTTCTCATAATAATTCTTTATTTCTTTTTAAAAAAAAAATGATTTAGCAATTGCCAAAAAATAAATCCCTTACATAATCAAGAGATTTTTCAAATTTTCATCATAAGGCTTTATAGTTTATTTAACATACTATGCAATAGAAAAATATTTTACAATAAGTTCATTTTTGAAACATGACAAAAAAAAGTGATAAAAACACTATCATAGTTTATAATAATATACGAATAAATAACATGTTGAAATTTTAGAGAATAATTATAATTTTATTGTCTAACCATCAATAAAATCATTTAATGATGTGATCATTATCTTTTAAATAATTGTTATCATCCGACTCGGTAAAACACTATTAAAAGGTTTCAGACATTATGTTAAGG